TTCTTCTTCTTCTTCTTCTTCTTCTTCTTCTTCTTCTTCTTCTTCTTCTTCTTCTTCTTCTCCTTCTTCTTCTCTTCTTCCTCTTCTCCTCCTCCTCCTGCTCCTCCTCCTCCTCCTCCTCCTCCTCTTCCTCCTGCTCCTCCTCTTCCTCTTCCTCTTTTTCTTCTTCTTTTGAAAAGGATGGCTAAAGGTTTGTCAGTGTTACTTAATCTTTCAAAGAACCAATTCTTTGATTCATTGATTCTTTGTATTGTTTTCTTAGTCTCCATTATACTAATTTCTTCTCTGATCTTTATAATTTCCTCCTCCTTAAAAGCTGTTTCTAGAAATTTGAGGTTGAACATTAGATTGTTTATTTAAACACACTTTGTTTTTTGGAGGTGGGAATTTACTGCTGTAAGTTTTTCTCAGAGGACTGCTTTCAATGTATCCCATAAGTTCTGGTATGTTGTTTTAGCATTATCATTTAATCTAGAAACTGTCTAGTTTCTTCTTTAATTTCATCTGTGACCCATTGGTTGTTCAGGAGGGTGTTATTTAATTTCATGTGTTTATGAAGCACATGTTGCAATAGTTTGTAGACTGGTGCAGCCACTGTGGAAATCAGTGTGAGATTCCTCAAAAAATTAAAACTGGAGGCTCCATTTGACCCAGCTATTCCTCCCGGTTGGTAGCTTCCAAAAATAATTAAAAGCATCATACCACAGTGATGTATACACATCTATGTTTATCGCAGCATAAATATTAGAAACAGCCCAAATGCTCATCAACTGGTGAATGGATAAAGAGGATTTTTTTAATACAGTGGAGTACTACTCTGCCATAAAGAAGAATAAGCTTGAGATATTTCTAGTAAATGGATGTACCTTGAGACCATACTTAAGTGAAATAAATAAGACAAACATATTTAAATATTGCATTGTTTCTCTGGTGTGAGAAACTGAAAATGAAAATAAGGACCCAAATATATACTAGGTATTGGGAAATGGGAGGAAAGTGTTCAAATGAGAAGGGAACAAGGGAGGGGGTGAGGGGAAAGGAAAGAAGGGATGAGAAAAAAAGAGAACAGAAGGAAAAAGTAGAAACAAAACTTTTGTAAAAGAGGAGTTGGAGGGGAAGGGATGGGTTAAAAAAAAAAGCAAGTTATATCATGTATAGATGCAAATTCCCTATGATAAATGTGATCATTATGTATACCTAAAATGTATCAATGGAATTAATTTAAAGAATAGCGATCAGGGAAGACCTCTGAAGAGACAGTGGAGTGGAACTAAAGGGAAGGTTATATGAAGCCTTCTTTTGTCTTTATGGCTGTGGCAGCATAAAGATCATATTAGAATGTAAATCAGGGATCATAAACTGCTCACAGTAAGGGAGGGGAAAGGGTGGAGTAAGGGATAAAGACTGAGGCAGTTGGCAGTAGATCAGGGCATGCTGAGCACTGAGGCAAATTGGTAGCTGCTGTGCCATTTTAACCAACTGTTCTCGTATTGGGGGGTTTAGTGCAGCCTAGACTTTTAGCTTTGTAAGAAAATCCATAAATCTAGATTTTCATGTGAAGTTTACTGGTTTAAATAATACTGCACAGATCATGGGTTGGGGACATAGCTCAGTGGTACTGTGTGTGCTTAGCAAATCTGAGGCCTTAGGTTTCATGCTAACACCTGCCTCCTTACATACATGTATATGCACAAAAGTACGCAGAGGCCAGACCTACTCTGATCATATCTCTTATACAATACTGTACATTAGAGAGTTGGTCACCAGTGCTAATGAGGACATGGCCGCTAAGCTGCTTCCTTTCTAGTTGTAGCAACAAAACTTAGGTCACTTCTTTTGTGTGTTCTCTGTCTTTACACATTGGACTTTTTTTTTTGGCAGTACTGGGGATTGAACTCAGGACCTTGTGCTTGCCAGGCAAGTGCTTATTCTACTGAGCTATCTCCCCAGCCCGACATTGGCCTTTTCATGTCTTCTAAAACCCCCAAGTCTGTGTATAGCTCGTTAGTGTTGCTCACAATGATGCTGCCTGTTGAACTCCCTTCCATATCTCACTAGCTAGCTTGAGGTACCTTCCCCAGGTAACCCTGATGGCTGTCCCCCTCACAATTCTTTCTTCTGATGTCCTAGGACTCTGACTCTCATGAGATTTGCTGCTGACTTTTTCTTTTTACTTCTATGGTATGCTTCTCTTGCCCTTCCAGTTTTGGCTCTGTCCTCTTTCAGAGCAGAACCGTGCCTCATTGTCCTTCTGTTCTCATCACAGCATGGTTGTCAGCAGGGTACACACATGTCTGGTCAAAGTGGGAATGGGGACAGAGGTTGGCTTCTGAACTTTGAAGTTCAGGTCTGTCCTTCACCAGCCTTCTGGGTATAGGTAGGATATATGTGGTAGCTTCCTAAGCCTCAGCCTCCCCATTTGTAGGCTGTATAGAAGGCCTCACCTTACAAGGTGAATGGACCAATGTGTGAGGGAGCTTCACACATGCCAGACATGCAGCAGATGCACAGGAAACACCTGTTGTCATCCTCTGTATCCCCTCATCTTGCACATAGTGGTCACTTAGCAATGGAATGTGCCACTGTCCTGATCTCTGAAGCAATCAGATTGGTCTTGTTCTTGGCAACTGCAAGTGTATTTCTGGTACCCAATAAGGATATCTTTGTCCTTTATCTCCTATCTCTCAGTAACAGAGCTGCCCTTTTCATTTGTTTTTTGAGATAGGGTTTTGCTTTGTAGCTCAGGGTGGCCTTGAATTTGTGGTAATCCTCCTGCCTCAGTCTCTTGAGTACTAGGACTGCAGGTCCTAGTACTGGCTAGAGAGCTCCTTCTCCTGCCCACTCTTCTTTATCTCTTCCCTTGGGTCTTAATCTGACTGTCCTGAGCAATGTCCCCCTCCTTCAACAATAGACATTTATTTTCTCACAGTGAGAAAGGCTGAAAATGTCAGGTCTAGGTGTTAGGACTGGCGTCTGGTGAGGCCTCACTTTCAGCTTATAGATGGCTGCTTTCTCTGCTTCTTCTCCCATGGGCTTTCCTCTGTGCTTGAGGACCAGAGTGATCTCCGGTGCCTCTTCCTTACTTATAAACCACAGTCCCATAAGGTTAGGGGCCTACTCTCACAGTCTCATTTATCCAAAATCACCTTCTTAAAGCTTCTGTCTCCAAATGCTGTCACTAGAAACAGTAAGCATCCAAAACCATTGCTCATCTTGCCTGGGCTAGCTTCCCAGCACCTCCCTCCATCCCCAGATAGAGTCTGCTCCCAGCCTGACCATATCCCTACGCGCCTTCTTTGGCCTGATCCTGTTTTCGTTGAGGAAAGCTTAGATACCACCATCTCCACAAAGCCTTGGATTCCCTTGCTTCCAAGGGGCACCTAGTTCCTCCTTGACCTGTACACTCCCCCACACTGTTGTTAGGGTCTTTACACTATGATAGAGCTCTGTCCATGATGTCCCCAGACATAGTAGGTATCTGTTGAATGAATTACTAGAGTAATTTGGTTCCTGAAAGACCTGTATTCTTTTCTTCCCTAATAGTCTTGCTGCTCTCCCTTGTAGAGATCACAGTAATGGGGCCCAGCAAGCATGTCCACAGGGCAGTGGGGGACTCTGAGTCACTCAGGCAGAGTGTGACGGCCTCCCTGCCTCCAAACTGAGTCCAGGCAGGACACTGTTTCTGGTTATACGCAAACAGCATCATCTGGGTTGCATTAACAGGCTCCACTATAAACAGTCCTTACCCAAATTGAGGGCTAAGAAAACAGGAGGTAAATGGAGAGCCTTCTCCATCATGTGCAGGAAGACAGAGCAGGAAAGGAGGGCTAGATGGATTAAAGTGGTGATGCCCTCAGGGGATTCCCCTCTCCAAGCCAGCTGTATGCTGAGGAGTGGGTTCCAGGACCATAAATTCCTCTCAGTTGGGCTGGCCCAGCTGCACCCACCAGCACAACATGCAGTTGGTCTTCACCGAGGATCTGAGGTTTCAGTGCCCCTTTGCTTTCCTAAGGAGGAGCAAGGTGTAAGCAGGGGTTATGTCTGACCAAGACAGTGACTATGTTTTGTGTACATGTGTTGTTGTGTCTGTGCTCAAGCAGCTGTCACCCCAGGAGGCCCAGGAGCAGCAAGAGCTGAGGGCTTGCCTGCGCTGGCACCGCCTCCAGGACGAGCTGCGGAACTCCCCCGAGGAGATGCAAGTGTTAAGGTAAAGCCTCTAGCTCCCTCACCTCCCACCCTCTGCTTTCTTTCCAGACACATCGAGACCATCTGACTAAATCCGCCATGTTTCCTTTCAAAATCAAATCAGGCTGGGCTTACTCATCCTCCCAGGGATATGATTGTTATGTTTTAAGTCTTTCAGGGTGTGGGTTTTGATTTGCTTTCTGACATTTTCCTGGTGTCTCTATTCAGGAAAAAACTAGCATAAGGCCATTTCCGGGACCAAATTCTTTGTTTGAAGTTCTGATATTCACTTTGTGGTGGCTGAGGACGTGGAGAAGGTTGAGGTTTGGCAGCCCAGCAGACAGTAACCCTTTAAAGCCAAAGGGAAAAAAACTTTAGGAAAATATCGATTCCTAAGTGTTTAGCAGTAACAGATGTGCCTGTCAATGGGGCCTTTTGTTTCAGATGTAGCCCAGCAGGAAGCCACTGCCCCTCTCTAGAGTGTAGTAGGAGGATTCTACTCTTAGCTCCTGAATTTTGTTTTTAGAGTGTGGCTTGCACCACTTGTAAGATTATTTCTTGCCATTTTCCAGATTTGTTTTTCCTCCCTGCTGTGCTTTATTTCTTCACTACTCTAAATAGTTGTTTATCTGAAGCCCTGGGTGTAGGCCCCAAGAGCACAGAGGTTATTATGTCAACAGACGTTTCTGTGCAGACCCTCTGGCTAGAGTCAGGTGTTTGGAACTGGCAAGGTTGGGAAGGTGCAGGCGATCCAGGAATTGCTCTTTCTTCGCACACTATTTTAGATGGCTTTCCTGCACAGATGCCCGCCACAGAGGGTTCTGCTATTATGATGTTTTGTTTTGTTTTGTTTTGTTTTGTTTTGTTTTGTTTTGTTTTGGGGCAGAGTCTTGCTTGGTAGTATAGGCTGACCTTGAATTCACCATGTAGACCAGGATGGCTTCAAATTTGAGAGAATCTTCCTGCCTCAGCCTCCCAAGTGCTGGGATTACAGGCACATGCCATTAACCCAGGCTCCTATTGTGGTTTATTCTTTTTTTTTTTTTTTTTTTTCTTTGCGGAACCAGATGGTTTGTTCTTGAATGAGCACCTCTACCCCTTTGCTTGGGACCAAAGAGTGCCAGAAGGTAGAGAGCAAGCCAGGCCTCAGGGAACAGGCTGCCTGGTGCTTTTGTTCAGCCCTGTGCCCTTCCCACAGTGAAGTCCCCATCCTTGCACACAAATGTGCCTCCCAGGCTGACTCATCCATTGTTTAGGAGAGGCAGCTGGAGCAGTGGTAAGCCCACCCAGCTGGGAGCCAGGAGACCTGCAATCCTGCCCCAGCAGTGCTCCCCTGGCCAGTGTTTACTGATCTAGGCAGGACACTTCTCATCAACCAGTGGGGACATGGGCCCTGCTCACACAGAACTTCCACTAAGTGGGGGTGCACTCACATGTGCAAGAGGGTCTATGAAGGGACTACTTATTGCTTGCTAAACTCAAGACTGAGCTAGGCATGACCTCAGCCTGGCAGAGCATGGAACACAGAGGCCCTGAGGCAGGAAACAGCTTTGATGTGCTTTGGGGACAGAAAGGCTTTAAGACAGGGTAGGCTTTAAGTGTTTCCCCTATGTTATCTTACTGCAGTTTCAAAATTTAAGCATAGGCATAAACAATGGCTTCCTCAATAGGACTCCATAGTGCAGGAAATGATATTGAGAATCAACACATGGGATTACATCAAATTAAAAACCTTCTGCACAGTAAAGAGAAAACCCTCAGAATGGGCAGGAATGTTTACTAGGTACTCCTCTGTTAAAAGATTAATACCTTGAATATATAAAGAACTAAAAATATTAACCACTTCCTGAAAAAAATGGCCCAATCAAATAATGGGTGAATGAACTGAGTATGTACTTTTCAAATGAAGAAATACAGTTGGCTAATGAATATATGAGAAAACATTCAAAATCTTTAGCCATCAGAGAAATGGAATCCAAAGCTACACTGAGATTTCATCCTACCCTGGTCAGAAATGGCTACAGAAATGAATGCTGCTGAGGATGGGAGCAGGTTAGTAGGAATGTAAACTAGTAAAACTGCTCTCGAAATCAATATGCACATTCCTCAAAAAAACTAAAAATAGAAATATCTGTGAAATATACCACTCCCGTGTATATTTCCTAGAGGAATTAAGGACATCATACTATAGCAGCACATGCGGTACACACCCGTGTGCACAGTGGTGCAATTCACAACAGCTGAGTTGTGGAAATAGCATAGATGCCTATTAATAGATGGTTGCAGTGTGTACATAAACAGTGGAATATTATTCAGTCATAAAGAATGAAATCACATTATTTGAAGGAAAGTGACTGGAACTCAAGACCATTACATTAAGTGTAATAAGTCTGACTAGGAGAGTTAAATACCACCTTTTCCCTCTTGTATAAAAAAACCCTAAAATATATGCAAATAAATGAATAAAAAAGAGATGATAGAAACTTGAAGGTAGACTCTTGGAGGTGAGGATGAGGATTAGGAGGTGCAAGTACAGGAGGGATTGAAAATGGTCAAGATACCTTGTGTGTACGGACCAGTTTCCCAGAATAAGCGTCACTGTTCCCTATTACAAACATACACTAATAATAAAAAATAAAGGAGGACAGGGCCATAAGAGACAGGCAAGAGCCTATTCCAGGGAGGGCACAAGAGTCCCACTCCCAGTGCAACAGAAGCCATTGTGGAGTCTTTGCAGGGAAGGAGCCTGATTTCCATGTGTGAAGGCTGCTGTGCTCTGGTAGCTTGGCTGCAGGTAGCACGCAGAGTAGGAGGAGGCTCGGAGTGTTGTCCATGCAAGAGGTCCTAGGGAGAACAGCAGCAGGCACATGAGCAGATCCATCAGAGATGTACTTTGGTAGGCTTTTTCACCTGCATATGGAAAAGGCAATGAGAATAACTAGAATGACTTCTAAGTTTTTGAATTGGGCAGTTGGGAAAATGGTGATGGAATTTTTGAGATGGTAAGAAGACTTTGGAGGGAAAAATAAGCCTTCCATTATTAGAGATGCTAAGTTTGAGATGTCAATTAGATATATTCAATATTGAGAATTCAGTAGAGTGCACAAAGTAAAGGTTCCTAGGAACAAACAGCCTACGAAGCACTTAAGCATCTGAGTTTGTCAAAGTCACCAGGGAGGAAGATGAAGAGCCAGCAAGGGATTTTAGGGAGATGGGGGGGGGACTAGGAATAATGGCAAAAAGAAGGCAAGAAAGTGGCCCATGGCAGATGCTGTGTGGAAGGGAGAGGGAGATGTGACCTTCAGATGGGACCATGAAGGATATCGGTGACCTTGACATTCTTAGATTCACTTATGAGTGATGGAGAAAGAAACCAGATTGAAGGAGACAGAAAGGTAAGTGGGTAATCAGGTAGTGTGAAATTAATAAAGGAGGGTGAACTGGCTAGGGAAGCTATCTTGAGAGGCCACAAAGGAGGTGGCCATTAGAGAGGTTTGTTATGGGAAGGGATGCTGAAGTGTGAACTGTACATATAAGTGTGCAAATCCCTTCTCCTCTCAGACTCAGTTTCTCAAGCAAAAATATCATCTCTGTTCTCTACGTCCCTAAATCCCTTTCAAGCCTCTGGAGCACATGACTGCAGTCCGCTGGCTGTGGTAGGGTGGTGCGGGGCATTCTAATGACTTCGAGTTGATGACATGTTATTCCAACATGGAAGCAGTTACTCTGTTCCCCGGGAAGTTAGTTGTGAGAGAGCCTCAACGCAGGCTGCCCTGGAGCTGCAGGCAGCCCGCTTTCAGATGGTCAAGTTCTTTTCTTTCGTGTATGGGGTTGGAAGAGGGAATACAGTATTTTTAGACCTTTACGCTAGCAGGTTTATTGTGACATTTATATTTCTTTGTTTAAATATTCAGAAATTGTGTTTGCCTAAATTTAGGCTAACCATGAAACAACTGCATCAGTCTGGAAAATATTCTTATCAGATGTACTTTTACAATGAGGAGGAAATGTTTCTGAACCTGCCTCCAATTGTACAGTCCAGGTTTAGTTTACTCTCATGCCCTAGAATTCTCCTTTAAATGGGAACAGAGAACCCAGAGATTGCTGAAAATGAAAGGAAGAACCAGAGTTCTAAAAATTTTTCAGTTTTTGGCTTAATGTGCAAATGAGGTCTCTGAGAAACTAGTCCTTTTAAACAATATAGTGACCAGAGGTAGTATCTTTTTTTCTTTCAAGATACACCAGGATTTTGAAGTAATGAGCCAAGAACAGTGGAAAAATTGTGGTGTATCTTGCTACGTTCTTCCAAGTCTTTTGAAAAAAATGGGATCTCCTATTATGGTCTTTATAGTAGCTTTCACCATGGTTGACCCCCTCCATTCTTCTAAAAACACTTTCTTTTCTCAGTTTCTCCATCACAATCTCCTTGATTTCCTGCTACGGCACTGACCACCCTTTCTTCACCTTTCTTGTTGGCAATTTACTATCATCACTTAAATGGTTTGAGACTGAGCAAGACTGAGTAACATGTCCAACATCGTACCGCTGGTAAAGAAGAGAGCAGGCACAGTGGCACATGCCTGTAATCCAGGTACTCAGGAGGTTGAGGCAGGAGGATCTCAGGGTTTTGAACCCTGCCTGGGCAACTTATTGAAACCCTGTCTTGAAATTAAATTTTAAAAAGTGGACTGGAGATGTAGCTCTGGTAGAACACTTGCTTAGTATGTGCAGGGCCCTGAGATTAATCACCAGTCTTAAAAAAAAAAAAAAGCAGGCATTGAAACCCAAAGAACTATCCTTATACCACACCTCTGGAACTTCAAGGAACTTAATACAACATTTTGCTATACTAAAAAAAAAAAAAAAAAAAAGAGGACCTTTTGGCTGGGGAGATGGGAAGAGCACACGTCTGAACTCCAGTCACGCCGCAACATCTCGTATGCCGTCTAAAAAAAAAAAAAAAAAAAAAAAGAGGAAAAGAGAAATTGAATTCTGGAAGGACACACAGTAGGTCCGACCAGA